CCTTGTCCTCACAAGAAAATTTGAATTAACATTTATCTAATTATCTGAGACACACACATAAAGATCACAGTGCTCATAAATTGATTTTATTATCACCAATCAAATTTATGGCAAACAGATAACCATGCTACATAACTCATAGCATCATACTTGTACCTAGGCACTGGTGGTGTGAACAACACATTGCATAGATGAAGACCCCACCCAATGATTAACTTATTGATCACAGAGAGACAGTAGTACACATGATTAAATGTGAAGTACATGTAAAACCAACCCATTTTTTGCAAAGAGTATTTTTGTATTTATACAAGCCCCTCCAAATTTGTTTTCCTTCTTGTTTACTTTACTCTTTACGAAAAAACAGACAGTCAGACAGTGTAACAACTTTTTAAATGTGACCCTGAAAATAATGAAGATCAACAAGATTTTTTTTCCACCAGTAAATTTGAGCATTAGATTTTATGGAACATTAGATATCATTTCTGTTAATGTGCTGAATTCAATGTAAGTTCCTCAATTAAGTACTTCATAAAATATGGAATGTAATTTTATTTGAAGGGCCAGCAGCAGTAATAATGGAACTGATTCTAATATCATAAAACACAGGAAGGCATCTGCATACCTGGGACATCATCAAATTTAACACTTGGTGTTAACAAGTCATAGTTGTTTGTGCTTTGTGCGTGCAAAAAAGGTTGTCCACATTACATGTAAAGATAAAATAATGGTGATGTTTGTTCCTATTACTCTATATGCATGTATAATGTCCTGGGCAATGTTGTCACAGCAGATTGTGAACTAGTGTGTTAGTGCTGAATTTTTTATCAGAAATTTGCATCCTGGTTGGCAGAAATGGAAACAAATGATGTCATATAGACCTACTGTATTTGCTCTATTAGTAGGTCATGCATTTAAAAAAGGGACATGCAGAAGTCTATGGTTAAAATAAAGTGTTTTTAATGTTTACAATGCATGGACTTGTAGTTTTATATATGCTTCTTTTGCAGATGTGCTTCTAATACAGCAAATATGATGCAAGAAATGTCTTTTTGATGAATTACTGCTTTACAAAATAAGCATTTATAAAAAAAAAATATTGTTGATATTGTGAGAGTTTGAGGATGAAGATGCATTAAAAACATGTAATGTTTGGTACATGTGTAAACTCCCATTTCTTCCCTCTTGATTGTGTTTTTATGCATTTTCAGTGGAGACAAACATACCAAATCGGGGCTTAATCACATGCTGTTCAAATATCAAGGCCACTGTCAACAATTATTGTACATCAGGATGGAATATCACATACAACATTGAGAGCATCTTTTAAGAAGCTGTCAGCAGTCACCAAAGTACTCTTATAAAAGCATGACTGCTCACAGCTTCAACAATTTAGCTAAAAACTTCAAATGATTGCTTTTCACTTTCTATTAATATTTGTTACTGTATTAACCACTTTAATAACTGTACTTGTGTTTTATCATTTTGATTGTTTACCTACCTACATGAGCGTTGTTTACTTCATCACAATCGTCATCAGCCACTTGGTGACTGCACGTCTTGCTTCAAGTCTTAACAACATAGCCTGCAACAAGTTTCCAGTTATCATCATGGGCTAACACATCCAATTTATTACCCTCCCCCTCCCGGCTGACCAAAAGGATTAAAATTTAGTACATATTTTTCATACATGTCCTGCGACCAGTTCTAATTAAGAATTCACAGACACTGTAAAAAGCTAATAAAACAACCTTAAAGCATAAGTGTCTTCACCTGTGCATGCACAGTAATTACGCTAATATTACGCACAAAAAACGCCAAGCTCATAGGTGAATGCAACAACACACTATGGCAATCTGTTGCATGCACAGGTAAAGACATTGACTCTTTATTAATATTGATAGATTCAAATGAAGAAGCCAAAATGACAATCATCTTAACTTAAGCATTAGTGAATATATAATTAAAAGAAGACAAAGAAATTATACATGGATTTCAAACTGTTGTTAATTTATGACAGGATGGTATTACTCCCATGGTGCATTTCACTTATTTACCTTCACAAATAGACCATTTTCTGTTCACTGCGAGAATCACGCGTTATGCGTGAAATTGAACATAAAAACAGGACGAACAAAGGTCATAGCGTCCTAGTGGCGTCAAACATCGCGTGGGATTCGACAAACGCGAAAGTATTTCAGGGACATTTCCATGCTTAATAATGTGCTGTCCACATTTGATGATAGGCAATTTCGATTAAGTAAGGGTATTCGGAAGCAATATTCCTATGTCGAATATCGGCCGGTCAATTTAAGCTACGAAATAAAGAAATTCTAGTTCAAAATCAAATCGTTCGATTTTTGCGGCAGATGTTCGACGTGCGTCTTTCATGCATCTCGCGAGATCTCGCAATTGTACGGAAAATCACCTATTCCTCTTAACATCTATTACAGGATCAGTATGTATACAAGCACTGCTTGACCTGTGAGCATATAGCTTATCCTTTGTGTCCAATGATTAATTTTTGTTTTAGATTTGCCTATAACAAATTATCTCATTATCTGTACATTTGTAGTTTCTTATACATGTACTGTAGTCAGATTGAAATCTTTCAGCAATCCTGTACGTCGTGCAGTCTAGTGACAAAGCGCACAAAGTCAAACGTTTATAAAATGACGTCGGTGTGTGAAAGCACTGTAAGTTGTTCCTCTGCAGTCGCTCCCCGATATGGAAAACTTCTAAAAACATTTACTGACTACAGATCAAAACAACACTGTCTATGGCCTTTATTTTAACTATCTAGTTTATACATGTACATGTAGAAGCGCTATGTTACTAGACATGCAAGAAAAGGAGTATGGCCATATTTAGTGGAGTAATGTATTTTTTATATGAACACTTATGTCAATCCTAAAGTTGAGACAACAGATGACAGGAAAATGCTTTTAAAGTTGCACTCTGAATTTTACTGGGTCTTGGGACTACCTGTATTATGTGAAATATTTGATGTTCTAAATTCACACAGATTCTGTCTTGTTTCAAACTACTGCGGCTGGTCATTGAAAATTACTAAAATTGAACATCACACACATATTTTATGCAAATTTAGACCATTAAGTATTTCATACCAGTCACAGGAACACAATAAAGCTCTATGAACAATCCCAGGGTGCAACTTTAAGTGCACTTTGTTGGGAAATGCACTTCTATACACTGAGGATTATACCATATTTGTCCAATAACAAGCCCCTTTAAAACCCTGCCCATGGTTGGCATCACCCAGCAATCTGATTGGTTAATACCCAGATTGACCCATCAGTTTAAGAAACACAGTTTCAGGTCAACTTATGCATGGAAAAACATGGCAGATATTTTTTGCATGAAGTGTTTCAAACCAAAGAATTGATTTTTCGTATTACATTACAATCACAACTAAAAATATTTATATCAACTCAAAACCAAGTTTAGTTTGTGTGCTTATAAAATAGCATGACTGATCTAACAAAATCAAAACCAATAAATATGACATTAAAATCACATTATAACAATATTTATTTTGGAACCAAACGAAGGCTTTTCACTCACGTCTGATGCCTGAATTAGTGACACCAGCAATATTCTTGATATCTTGTTATCACATGGTTGCAATTTGTGAACAAAAATCCTATCTTCTGCCATGACTATTGTATTTAGGCTATAATGGATTGAAATAATGATGCCCCAAAGCATCAATAAGGAAAGATTTGGAGGCAACATTTGCCCAGGGCATCAGACAAATACGGTATATACAACATTTTTTTTAACATTGAAAGAGTTACTAACACTAGTTCCAGATGTTGAAAGGCTTCTATCACATCATTAGTCACTCTCAAAATAAACTAATAAGAACACAATTTAATAAAAAGATGAAATTCAAAAGCAATCGATATCTAACCCAAAACTGGTCAGGAACAGATTACAAAACCCCCAAAGCTGACTGGATGTGAAAGCCTACATGATAATAATGGTTTGAACAAGGGAGCGTTAGCAATGGGTCTCTCATGTCCAAACCACAACAGGAAACAAGTTGCTAGGCTCAAGTGCATGATGGGAAACCTTATCAATACATATATACATGTTTACTGTTTTAAAAAGTTTTTTATTTTAACAATTTGTTTTCCATGAAATGTTTAAAATTTAGCACATGTAAAGATAAGAATCCCAGCATTCACAGTTTTAATCATGAATCTACATCTAGCTAAGGAGCCTCTATTTATAAAGACACCCTAGTTAGATGTAGAATTTTAAACAGTCGTTCAGTGTGTGTAAATCCATAACAGGTTTTCCAGTTAGTAAATATTTGTTATTATGGGCTGTTTAAAACATGTACTTGTTTTGCTTTTCAACATAATTCTGCGAGTGGTCGCAGTTTTCAGTTTACGTGTATTAAAGCCGTTAAGTTTTATACTCCTCAATTACAGAGGATACTTTTTGATAGCCAGAATAATGATCACAAAGTGGATAGGAGTCAGAGAACCACAGCCAAGGATTATATTGTACACCAAAAACACCTGAAAGTGAGCAAATATCAAACCTTGTGTTGACCAATGAAATACAATACCTTTTTAGCCCAGGCCTGTCCTTTGGGATTAGAGTTGGCAAGTTCAGTGGGTTTGAGAATCTGAGCATCAGTGGAACCAGTGTACTGTCCAGGTTTGTGACTGGCCTGGGCCCAGGACTGGATCTAGAAGGGGAGACAAGTTAGTATACTGAAGTACAGAAAAAAGTTTACAATGACAATAAGACTGACATTTCTTTTTTCTTTTACAAGCAAAGTAATAATGAAGTGGAAGACATTGCTGATTCCTTACCTGTTGATTTGCCTTGTACATGACCCCCATGGCTTCAACATCATGTGGATTTTCTTGGAGTTTACGCATGGCTTGTAGCCGTTCAGTAACCATGGTAGTGATATCAACATTCTGTATCAAGGGTAAAGAAGTCAACTTGAAATAATTCCATCAGTAGACCTTCCGAAAACTGGGTTTTATAAGCATTATATAGTACTCTCACCACAGAAAATGTGTGGCAGAATTGTTCTCTCAGTTCAAAAATATGGACCATCTATGTGGGTCTTGAGATGGAAGCATGAAGTAATTTGTTTCCCTTATAATGGACAGTCCTCTAATGCATATTTATGAATTGTTAAAGGGTTGTTTCATCAAATTTTCATTCTTGTGTTTTCTTACATTTTTGGACATTTTCTCTCATGAGAGTACAAATTCGACACAAATATATAAACCAGGAAGCAAATGTCTCAGTCAGATAGGATAAAATATAGGACC